AACCAAGATGCGTCAGCAATGCTGCAATACACCCTCCCGCCACAAGTCCTCTCCTGACGCGTCCCTACAAGCTTTCCTTTGCACTACAAGAGGCGCCCCCATTGAAAGACCTGCGCGATATGGGCATGCCATTTTGGCGTGGACCCCGTACGAATGTGCGCGGCGCTGGGGCGAGAGTACCACTTGGGAAAGGAATAACCATCCGTCCTTGAGGCTGCTGCGAAAGTTGGAGACGAATGTGCGCGGCATCAACGGGAGAAACCCTTTTTGAAAACGATCCCCCAAAACTTTCAAACAGGATGCGCGCTGCAGGAAGGCGAGAGACCCAGTTTCAAAACGGCCGGCCGTGCAGTCTTGAAGTTTCTGCGAACTCCGAGCATCAGGATCATAGGCGGCAGGAGAGTCTCCAGCGAAGCGCCCAGCCCGCCCTGCCAACGCGTCTGGGGGTGCGACAGGACGCAAGCATGTGCATGCAAAGAAAAAGGCGGAGGAGGAGAACGACGACGACAAGGAAGCGGGCGTGGAGGTGGAGGAACAGCAAGTTGGCGCCCCCCGCGTGCGAGGGAGCCTTGTCATTTGTATCACGATAATGTTGTGGTGTTGCGCCCTCGCTTCAACTCCGCAGCACCGCGCTCCACCTTCTCCCTCTGCTCCCTTCGCTATTCCCCCTCCTTTCCGCACCTCTGCTCTCCGCATGGGTCCACCTCGGCACACGCATCGCGCGCCTCGTGGCCCCATGGGGAGCTCCACCTGCGGTCTCAGTGGCCGCGGCCACATGGCGTCCCCGAGCCTGCTCTGGCACTCCCCGCACACGTTCCGTGCCCCTTGGGGGGCTCCAAGTACGGTCTCGATGGGCGCAACAGCATGGCGCCCCTGAGCCCAGGACGGCACACGAATTCACACGCGCCGCGCCCCCCCCCGAGGGAGCTCCGTATACGGTCTCAGTGGGCGCGGCCCCGCACGGCGTCCGCGAGCCAGTTTGGGCGCGACCCTGCGACGCTTCGTTGCCCCCCCTCCCCACAGGGAGCTCCGCTCACGGCCCCACTGCGCGCGACCGCATGGCGACCCCCCGAGCTCCTCCTGGCGAGCCCCACGCACGCTTCCTGCCCCCCTATCCCCCTCCACCAGTGAACGGCCACAATCGAAAGCTTCACGTGCGCGTGCTGCGAATGCGGACCGATCCCCCTCCACCGAAGGCCTGAATGCAAGGGCACACATGGCCGACTTCGGAAACCCTGCACCCAAAAACGTGTGCATCTCTTGGGAACGCATCTTTTGCTTCCGCAGCCTTCGGCCGGCTGCCGCCGTCGTTTGACTTCCGCCGACCCTCCGCCGCCCGTCCGCCGCAGAAGAGACGACAGCTCCTTCGATCCTCGCGGGCAGAGCTCTTCTTGGAACGCCTCACATGGCGTCAGCCCGCTCATTTCGGCCCACCCCTCCTGCGCTTCGTGGCCCCCGTGGGGAGCTGCACCGAGAGGCCCGAATGCGAGGGCCCGCGGGCGTCGCCCCGCCCATTTCGGATCACGCCCCTCGCGTGTTCCCTGGGCCCTGCAGCACGCTCCACCGAAGGCCAGACTGCGAGGGCCCGCACGGCGTGACTACGCCCATGTCGGCACACCCCTTCCCTCACACGCTTCGTGGGCCCACGGGGAGCTCCACCGAAGGCCAACATGTCACGCCCCGCATGGCGTCTCCCCGCCCACGTCGACACACTCCTCGGAAGCTTCGCGGCCCCAGAGGGAGCTCCACCGAGGGCCCAGAAGCACGGCGCGCATGGTATCGCCCAGCCCATGCCGGCAGACCCCTCACACGCTCCGTGGCACCATACGGAGCTCCACCGCAAGCCAAACTGTCAGGGCACGCATGGCGTCACCACGCCGCCCTCTTTTCGACACACCTCTCTCACGTTTCGTGGCCCGCATGACGTTCCCCCCTCGCCCAGTTCCGCACACCTCTCACACCCTTCAAGGCCCCACGGGGAGCTCCACCGAAGGCTCCAATAGCAGGGTAGGCGTGTCGTCGCCCAGCCCATGTCAGCAGACCCTTCACAAGCTTCGTCCAAAGTGCCAGCGACAGGGCCCGCTTGACGTCGCCCCGTAAGGTTCGCCCCTCCTCCCATGGACGCTCCGTGGCCCCATAGAGAGCTCTACCGAAGAATCCAGCGGCAGGGTTCGCATGGCGCCGCCGCTTCTGTTTCGGTAGGCTCTTCGCAAGCGCCGTGACACATCCTCAAAATCATCCGTTTCACCTGCTGGTTTGGCGGAGCTCGCGCCTGCATGCGGTTGGGGTTTTCGCCAGAACAACTTGCATGCCTCAACCATCGCTTTGAATCAGTCACGCCCCGCGTCTCACTCCCACCTTCCTCCTCCTCCTCCTCCCCCTCCTCCTCTTCCTCCTCCTCATTCTCCACCTCCTCCTCCCCCATCCCTTCTCCTTATAGATACCTCCTCCCTGTCGCACCCCTGAAGCTTAAAAAGTGGCAACAGTTTCACAGACGGAGGGCGGGTGGTTTTCAAAATGTGGCTCTCGCCTTAGCGCCGCGCACATTCGTTTCAAAAAACTTGGAAGAGTTTCACGGATTGAAGGCGGGCCGTTTTCAAAATGTGGCTCTCGCCTTAGCGCCGCGCACATTCGTTTCAAACATTTGGAAAGGTTTCACGGATTGACGGCGGGCCGTTTTCAAAATGTGGCTCCCGCTTTAAACAATTGCAAGAGCTTCACGGATTGAGGGCGGCTCCTTTTCAAAATGTGGCTGTCGCCTTAGCGCCGCGCACATCCGTCTTAACAATGTGCAAGGGTTTCACGGATTTCTATGATCAACGTACCAGAAATAGCGTTTTGGAAGGATTCAAGACAATATTTTAACATGCTTCAGGATCGTCAAACGGTTGTCATCCGACGAGGAAGTTCCCTCAATGGACATGAATCGCTGTGGGGGCCTATGAAGAGGGAGCCTGGAGGGAGGGCGAATTCCAGCATCGTTGATGACTCTTGGTTTTACACTGGTCCTCCTCCTCCTCCTCCTCCTCCTCCTCCTCCTCCTCCCCCTCCTCCTCCTCCAAGGAAGCCCCCCCAAGACCTCAGGCGAGGGGGGTCTCGATTTTGACCACAGCCGACCTCCATCGCCCAGGGACGGCCTGGGGTGAGTGAGGCTGCAATCGTCGCCGCGGTGCGTGCCTCGCAACTGCGGAGTTCAGGCCTGCAGCATCCTGCAACATCCTCCTCCTCCTCCTCCTCCTCCTTCTCCTCCTGCTCTTCCTCCTCCTCCTCCTCCTCCTCCTCCTGCCTCCCCCCTGTCCTCTCCCTCTCCTCATGACCTCTGCCCGCCGTGCCTCCTCACCGCTCGCACGCGTGCCGTGGCCCCACGGGGAGCTCCACCGAAGGACACAGTGGCACGATGTCGCCAAGCGTACCCCTGGGTCGGGCATGTCGTCCTTGAGGCGGACTTCGGATGAACAATACAAAAATTGATAATAAAAATAAAATCAAATATAGCTCAAAAATAAGTATAAGACCTTCCCCACTTGATGATAGAACTATTTTTGAATGTTCCTCCTTTAGAGGGACAGGCCCGACTTAAGCGCACCCCGATCCCCATAGGGAACTCAACCAGAGGCCTCACTGGCCTGGTACCGAAAAGCTTCCCCCCGCCGGTTCCCGCACACCTTCGCACGTTTCGTGGCCCCACATGGAGCTTCACCGAAGGGCGCATTGGCATGATTTCGGATAGCGTCCCAAAGCCAATTCCAGCAAACCCTTCACGCGCTTTGTGGCCCCACAAGAAATACCAAACGCACTGGCATGGTACTGCACAGCTTCCCCTCGCCGGTTCCTGCACACCCCTTACACGCTTCGTGGCCTCACAGAGAGCGCTACTGAAGGCATCAATGGCATGGACCTGCGTAGCGTTCCCCCGCCTATTTCGGCACAACCCTCACATGCTTCGTGGCCCCACTGGGAGCTTCACATAATGCCGCACTGCCATGGTGCCGAATAGCGTCCCAGCCAAGTGCGGCACACCCCTCACAAGCGTCCTCGCCACACAAGGAGCTCCACCCAAACTGGCATGGTACTAAACAGCTTCCCCCGCCCATTTCGGATCACACCCCTTACACGCTTCGTGGCCTCACGAGGAGCTCTACCGAAGGCCTCACTGACATGGTACCGCCCAGCGCCCTCCCGCCTATTTCGGCACACCCCTCAAACGTTTCGTGGCCCCACTAGGAGAATCACCGAAGGCCGCACTGCCATGGTACCAAATAGCGTCCCAGCCAAGTTCGGCACACCCCTCACACGTTTCGTGGCCCCACAAGGAGCTCTACCCGGGGCCTCAATGGCATGGCGACCCGCACAGCGTCCCCCCGCCAGTTCCAGCAACTTCACACAACCGTGCACGGAGTGGCCCCACAGGGACCTCCATCCAAGGCTTCAGTGACATGGTACCGCATAGCGCCCCCGAACCCATTTCGGAACACCCCTCACTCGCTTCGTGGCTACAGAAGGAGCTCGACCGAAGGCCTCACCGGCATGGAACCGCACAGCGTTGCCCCGCCCATTTCGGCACACCCCTCACATACACACACACACACAAACACTTAGTGGTCCCACGGGGACCCTTATTGAAGGCCTCAATGACACGGTACCGACCGCACAGCGTCCCTCCGCCAATTTCGGCACATCCCTCACACGCTTAGTGAGGGAGCTTCACCGAAGGCCGCCCTGGCATGGTATCACGAAGCATCACCTAACAGATTTCGGCACACCACTCACGTGTTTCATGGCTCGACAGGATGCTCCACCAAAGGCACCACTGGTATGGATCCGCTTAGCGTCCCCACGCCCATGTCGGAACACCCCATTACACGCTTCGTGGCCCCATAGGACCCCACAGAAGGCACCACTAGCATGGAACCGCATAGCGTCCCCCAGCCCATCTCGGCACACGCCTCACACATTTCATTTCCTGTCGAGGAGCTTCACCGCTGGCCACATTGGTATGGCACCGCAATGCGTCCCCCAGCCCATTGCAGCACGCCCCTCACGCGCTTCGTGGCCCCACAGGCCACTCCACCAAAGGCCGCACTGGCATAGCACCGAAAAGCACATTCGGCCCATGTCGGTACACCTCTCACACGCGTCGTGGTCCCACAGGGAACTCCAACGAAGACCTTACCAGCATGGTATCGCACAGCGTCCCTCGCCAGTTTTGGCACACCCCTCGCACCTTCTGTGGCCTCACAGGGGCCTGCGCCGAAGACCCCACTGACACGGTAGCGCATAGCGTCCCCATCCCCCTGTCGGTACACCCCTTACGCGCTTCATGGTCCCACAAGGAGCTCCACAGATGGCAGCACTGGCATGACACCGAAAAGCGCACCCCGCCCATTCCGGCTCACCCCTAATACGCTCCGTGGTTACAAAAGGAGCTCAACCGAAGACCTCAAGGACATGGTACCGCATGGAGCCCCCAAGCAAATTTCGGCACACCCCTCACGCGTTTCCTCGACCCACAAGGAGCTCCACCAAGGCCACACTGGGATTGTACCGGACAGCGTTCCCCAGACAATTTCGGCACAACCCTCACACGTTTCGTGGCCACACAAGAAACTCTACCAAACGCACCACCATCATGGTCCCGCATAGCGTCCCCCAACAAATTTCGACACACGCACACACACACACACACCTCGCACGTTTCGTCGCCCCTCAGGGATCCCTACCACATTCACCACCCGCATGGCACCGCAAAGTGCCACCTACCCACCTCGGCACACCCCTCGCAGCTTTCAACCTCCCCGAAGAAGAGGAAGCGTCAGACTCGCGACCCCTCGACGGTGACGGCGATGCCCCCTGAGGAGCGCCCCATTTAAGTCTCCTGGTCGCCAGGTGACCCCGCACGTCTCGATTTCTTGGGGCGGTAGTGGACGACGGAGCACGGTAACCAATTGTGGGCTACCAAAATACGCCCTTGCATCCAAATGTTTTTGGGAGAAACAGAAGTCTTGACAGGAAGCACCGTGTGCAAAAAATCATCGCACCAACACCACGGTCAAACCAGGAGCCGAAGCCAGCACATCCAAACAAGAAAGGGCGTAACGTTCTGATCCCCCTCTAGATTTCCCTGAAATGCAAATGTGGATTTTCAGCACGGGTCCGTTTTTGTACAGAACGCGGGAAAAGGGCGAATAACTGAGGCGGGGGGGAGTTGTTCACCGCGCTGAGCGGTGACTCACTGTTGGCCCGGTCGACTTACTCACCTCCTTGCTTTGCGATTGTCCGCGCTGGCCGCTCCCGAACTTCCCGCTCCGTGACCAAGCCAAATCGACCCGGCTGGGCTGCAGACCTGGACCACCCCTCAAAAATGTGGTCTTGGAGGGCCCCCTCAAAGTTATTCCCTATGCCCCTCTGCCTGACGCTTTGCTCCTGGGCCGTGCCTTCACAGGCTCCGGGGCCCAGCAAGCGCCTCCCGGGGCCGAAACGGGCGAAAGACCTTCCGCCGCAACTCTGGTCACGAAGCGAAGGGGCCCCCGAACCCACCCTGTGCGCGTTCTGACTAGAACATCGAACGGCATCCAGCTGCGGCGACGAGGAGCCCCCTGGAGGCTCAACGAAGCATGCAGAGAACCTCCCCTCCTCTCCCGTCTCCTGGTCACCAGGGAGTCGTCCTTGCCCTTCGAGACGAACACTCCCGGGAAGCGGTGAGGCTCGATCACCACCTCCGCACAGCGCGGAGCAGACCGCCCTCCGCCCCATGGGCCAACCGAGACGCCCTGGACCGCCCTCCGTGACCGCTGTCCGCCCTTCATCATGGCCGTAACCGAAACCGCCTGAAGCAGCCTGGAGAGGCGCAGCGACGCAGCAACGACACGACCACCGACCGAAGCGAGCCGGCCGAACTCCACCGACTGCGACGCAGCCGAACCAGGTGGAACTCCCTATGGCATATATGGAAACACGAAGCGTGTGATGGGTGCGCCAAGGTGGGGTGGCGGCGGCATGCGGGCGCAAGCACTGGAGAGGGAGGAGGAGGTAAGGAGGGAAGGAGGTAGATGCCCAGCGCTGCCGATTCGAAACGAGAACCCGACGCCACAGGATGGTTGGAAAGTTAGTATGGCGAAGGATCCAACAATATGCAGCTGCGAGTGCCGTAAGGCAGGGGGAAACTAAGGGAGGGGGCTAGCTAACGTACGGGAACGACGATGCTGATGGGGTCGCGAAAGTCAGCCGCAACGGAATACATCTGGAGGTAATCCGTCACGGCGGATCTGAGCGTCTGTAGACCCGGCTCTGGGGAGCAGCAGGGCGCGGTCTCGAGGGCAGCAGGCGGCGGGGGCCTCTGGTGGGGCCCCTATGCGGCCACGAAGCGTGCGAGTGGTGTACCAAAATTGGCGCGGTCGCGCATGCAACTCCTACCGATGGGGCACCCGGTGGAGCTCCAAACCAAAGAGGCACGGTCACGCATGCGGTTCCTCCCTATGGGGCCTTGGGTAGAACTCCTCGCAAAATGTGGGCGGTCACGCATACGATTCCTGCCACAGGAGCTTTCGGTGGAGCTCCCAATGGGGCCATGAAGCGAGTGAAGGAGTGCGCCGACATGGCAACCACTGGGGCCGTTCGTGGAGCTTCCTGCGGGGCCACGAAGCGTGTGAGGCGTGCCAAAGTGTGGCGGGGGGGGGGGGCGGCATGCGGGCGGAACCACAGGGGCCTGAGGCGGAGTTCCATACTCCTTCTCGAATGTTATGCTTATCAGACCCCCTCCCGTATATACATTCGGTCCTGTGCGCTCCCAGCAACGTGAAGTTCAAATCTTCGGTTTCGGGAGCCCTCCAGGCCATCCTGCGCCGCCCGAGCGGGCCCAGGATCGCTTCCTGGACGATCCCGCGGAGCCCCGAAACGGCCCGAGGCCGCTCCAGAGCGGCCAATGAGCGCCCAAAGAGGGCCCAAAGTCACTTCAAGATGGCCTAAAAGTCCCCCAAGACGACTCAAAAGGCCCCCAAGAGGACCCCCCCGACGCGAAAACCAGCCCACTCCAGTCATACAACGCGCATTTTCAACAGATTCGCTTCTTTGGTCCCCATGGTGTCCACGGCGGCTCAGGAGACCCCACAGACCCCCCAGGACGGCCCAAACATTCCCCAAAAGGGCTCCAAGGCGGCCCAAAAACCTGCAAGACGGCCCAAGACGGGCCCCGGAGGGTCCCAAACATCTCTGGGGCCTTAGGTGGAGCTCCCTGTGGTTCCACGATACGTGTGAGGGAAGTACCAATTAGGACGGTGGCGGCATACGTGTGCAACCATTGGCACCTTAGGCGGAGCTCCATTTGGGGGATCCGCCAAAGTGGGGTGGTGGCGGCAGGCGGACGAAAACACGGGGGCCTTAGGTGGAGCTCCCTATGGGGGCAGGGACCTTGCGAGGTGGTTTGCCAAAGTGGGGTGGTGGCGGCATGCGGGCGCAATCACTGGGGCCTTCGGTGGAGCTCCCGAAGGGCCACGAAGCGTGTGAGGGGTGTGCCAAAGTGGCGGCTGTGGCATGCGGGCGAAAACACTTGGGCCTTCTGTGGAGCTCCCGATGGGGCCACGAGACGTTACAGGGTGCGCCAAAATAGGGTGGTGGCTGAATGCGGGCGCAATTATTGGGGCCTTACGTGAGGCGACACGTGTGAGGGTTGCGCCAGTGGGACGGTAGCGGCATGCGGGCGCAACCATTGGGGCTTCAGGTTGAGCTCCTTATGGGGCCGCGATACATGATGGGTGCGCCAAAGTGGGGTGGTGGCGGCATGCGGGCGCAACCATCAGGGCCTTTGGTGGAGCCCCTTATGGAGCCACGAAACGTGTGAGAGGTGCGCCAACGTGGGGTGGCGGCGGCATTCAGGCGCAACCACTGGAGCCTGTGGTTGAGCTCCCTATCGGGCCACGAAACGTGTGAGAGGTGCGCCAAAGTGGGGTGGCGGCGACATGCAAGCGCAACCACTGGAGCCATTGGTGGAGCTCCCTATGGGCCACGACACATATTAGAGGTGCGCCCAAGTTGGGAGGCGGCGGCATGCGGGAGCAACCGCTGGAGCCTCAGGTGGAGTTCCCTAAGAGACTACGACACGTGCGAGGGGTGTGCCAAGGTTGGGTGGTGGGAAGGAGGAAGGAGGAGGGATGAGGGGGAGGAAGAGGGAAGGGCGGGAGGTGACGACAGCAGGGCGCTGTCTTCTAAAAGCAGGGGCCCAACACCACAGGATGGTTGGGAACAAAAGCAATGGGTAGCTCGCGATGCTCTTGTGCGCGGGGTGTCTGGCGCAGCCCATGGCGGAACACGGGAGGTCTAAGGCGGGGAAGCTGCGATCCGTCTGGCGCAGTGTACGGCGCTACCCTTCGTGCAGCCTATGGAACATCCTGTGTGGGGCCTCGTGGCGGGGGAGGTGCAAGCGGATAGGCCGCTACCCACCATACAGGACACCAATGCCCAGCCCATCCTAAACCACTCGACCCGTCCCCACGCTGCGCAACGAATGAACGTCGTAGCCCCGCCCCGGCCCTGTGCGCGACACGGCCCGCGAAGCACATGCGTGCCGCGCGACACCACGGGCCGTCTCCCTCGTCCTGCCTCTCCGCGCCAGGCTGCTGCGGGCGCCGGTGGAGCCTTCGCCTTGCCCTTGCCCTTGCCGCCCTTGCCGCCCTTGCCCTTGCCGCCCTTGCCCTTGCCTCCCGCGGCGGCTGCAGCGAGCGCGCGCGGGATCCGAGGCGACATCGGCGGCGGCCGCGTGGGCGAAGGCGGAGAGCCAGAGAGGACCTCGGGCACCCTCGGGACCCCGAAGGTGGCCGAGACCAGCGCGCTCATCAAACAATGCCGATCACAACACCTCGAATACAGTAGTCGGCCTGACATAAGGAACGATAAATAAGGAGCGAAGCCCCTGTGTTTCCGAGACGTCTAGGAAGTCCGAAGGAACACCAGGGGGGCTCGCCGCCAAAAAGGTAGCAGAACACATGCAAACCAAAGGAACGACCGAGCCCCTTTTGAAAAATAAGTGTTCCCTATTCAAGCCGGACCCTGTAAGCCACTTGTCCGAGACCGCCCATGCCTGGTCGGACCCGGCCAGGGCCCCCACTGGGCCCCGACACGGTGCACGGACGGTCCCGACACTGGCCGCGTGGGCCCCACACGCCGTGCCGAGGCCGGGCATGGACGTGGTGTGCAGGTGCCTTCGTGCAGAGCGCAGCTTACCCTTCCTGCTGAAGAGTCCGCCGGCCCTGTCGGCGTGCGTGAGACGGTGTTCCGTTTGAGTCGCCGCCGCCACTCCCCCCTTTTCCCTGGGCCCTCCTCCCGCAAGCGGCCCAGCCAGAAGGAAATCGAGAAGCGTCGCAACCGAGTCGAAGGGGAGCTTCTTCCGTTCGATCCCTTCCCCGCGCCGTGGGTGGGAGGGGGGGCGGGGGGGGGTCCCCCGAGTCGTGTCCCGCCCCCTCTCCAACCAAAACGGCCCAAGAGAGCCCACAGAGCCGCAAGAGGGGGAACACCAGTCGAGCCGAAGGGAAGGCCCTTGATCCCTTCCCCGCTTGGGGATGCCGTCCTGGGAGGGGATCGCTGGGGGGCGGTCCCAAGGGGGTCCCCGCGGTGGGGTCCCGAGGCCAGCCCACAAGAGCCCCCACGAGGGCTCGCGAACGTCGTCGTCGTCGTCGTCGTCGTCGTCGTCGTCGTCGTCGTCGTCGTCGTCGTCGTCGTCGTCGTCGTCGTGGTCGTCGTCGTCGTGGTCGTCGTGGTCGTCGTCGTCGTCGTCGTCGTCGTCGTCGTCGTGGTCGTCGTCGTCGTCGTCGTCGTCGTCGTCGTCTTCGTCTTCGTCATCGTCGTCGTCTTCGTCTTCGTCGTCCCACTTCAGGGTCGGCAGCACCAGCCGCAAGATCAGGGTATACGATCCCGCTTCGGCGGACGCGAAGGCCTCTCTGCCGGGTCAACGGCATATCTCGTGGCCAAACTCACTACCGACAAGACCACCCCAACCCGACCCGAAGACCCGAATTTCAGGTTGGGGGGGGTACGGACTTCATATGTGTTTTTCAATGTTCCGGAGGCAAATCGGGGTCTTCGGATTGGGTTGGGGTGGCTTGGTGGGCGGTGACAAACCAAGCGCTTCCACTTCCCAGTGCTTCCACCTCCACCCGGTGCCGCCTGCCGAGTCTGGCCAGGAGGGTGCCCAGCCCAGCCAGATGCCCGCAGGACCCTGCGCCTCCTCTCCTTTCGGCGCGCTGCCGGGCGCACCGCCAGCGCGGGCAGCCACCAGCAGAGCACTAAATGGAGGGGGGAGGGCGAGGGTGAGGAGGAGGGGCGGGTGAGGAAGCGTGGAAGGGCGAGGGCGAGGGCGAGGGGGAGGCGGAGGGGCCGGGGGGGGGCGAGGGTGAGGAGGAGGGGAACCCATGCCCAGATGAAGCAGGAGGGGCGATCCAAAGGTGGCGAGATCCGAGCTCTACCCCGCCATCGATTCCCCTGAGTCGATGGGAGGCGGGGTTAGGGTTCGATCTCGCATTCGAATCGGATCGGCCGCGCCAGCACATCGAGACCGAATCGGATCGGACCCGGTGATCCCGACACCGGATCGGATCGATCGGATCGACATGGACCCTGTAGAGGTTCGACGAGAACACCAAGTCGTCTGGCCGGCTATGAAGCTCGGTGTGTAGACGCCCCGGCTTCCCGGGTTGTGGCACGCTGGAGCGCCTGTTCACCGAGTTCCGCCGCCGACCTCCTTAGCTCCTCGGCCGACCAAACGACGAAGTGTATACATCGAACCCCTGCAAGAGGGACAAAGACAGCGACTGTCTCACAACACTGGGGATGGGAGGGGAATTCTTGAAGCGGGGACCTGGCCACCGCGCCCTCTGCGCCGTGCTCGCCAATACTTATTAATCCGGCCACACAGGCCAAAGCCAGCGCGACCAGGCCGACAACGCCGTCGTAGCCAAGAAAACTGATAGCCGCGCTGGCCAACGCCAGCGTGGACAGGAATCATTGTCTTGCCACGTTGGAAAATCGCGTCACGCTGGCCAAACGCTCTGAAGCATTCCGTGGCGGTCCTTCACCCGCTGACGACTACGCGAAGCAGATGCAATGGAAGCAGGCTGCGTCCCGCAACCGCCTGCCCGCCAGCTCACCGCACAGCCTTGCGCCGGGGAAAGAAGGTCATCCAATGCTTCCGCTCGGCCTCTGTGGTGCTCCGGATGCCGCCTGTGAAGCCCCCAAACTTGCAGGGCCGCATCTGCGAGTCGCCGAAGCGCACCTGCAGCCTGTAGAAGCGAGAGTTGCTTGGAAAGTGGCGGAAAGTGACCGTCGCGGTGGCGAGCGCACCGCCCTCGTCGCGGTCGAGGGCGTCGAGGTGTACGTACCACCAGCCGAAGGGGCTGCCCTCCTGCATCCTCCACTGCAGCTCCACCCCGGCACCCGGCTGCAGGCCCTCGAAGCCCGGAAGCACGCGGTCCATGTACAGGCCCGGGCCCGAGCCCGGAATCGGGCGCACCTGCAGTGCGTCACGGACGGCGGGTGGGCAGCACCGGAGGCGGTGCCCCTCACACTCTGGAATGTGCTCTGGCGGGATCTCGCGGGCGCTCATGTACTTCGCCGCGTAGCATCCTCGGTCCGCATCGAAGGTGACCCGGGCTGGCATGGCGGCCATCGCGAAGCCTGGCTTCTTCTCGCGGTCGAAGACCTCGAGAAGCACCTCTGTCTTGCCAGCGAGGGTGTCCTGTGGGACGCAGAGGGACATACTGGTACTATGTGTTCTCCTCGGAGGCGTGCGCCCGACCCCAACATATAGTAAGCATCTTGTAGTATACAATTTCTGGAGCGGTGTGGCCAAAAAAGCGCCCGCCACTGAGCTTCTACCACAAGATTTGTCGGCGCGCGCGTCGCCCCTGGGGAGGGCGACGCACACATAGTACTAGCATGTTGGGGTGGCACCGATCCTGGTACAGCCCTTCCCACTGCTGGGGGCCCTGGTGGTCAAGAAAGTCGTGGAAGGCAGGCCACCTCTTCTTGTACATGTTGTTCCACAGTGCGCCACTCGCCTGCTCCAGGTCGACGGCCACGGTCTTGGCGGCCCGTGCCAGTGCCTTCAGCTCTGGGGGCGACCCGCACGCGAAGGCCGCGATGTCAAAGAACGCCAGCGGACTGCCACCGACGAGACGAGTCTTGGGGTCGGCCACGGCCGACATTCTGATATGTTAGTAGAGAGTGTCTTGCTTAAATCGCTGATGTGTAACACGGATAGCAGGCAAGAACCTGCAGAGAGCGTATGTTGAAGTCTGCCGAAAGGGTATGTCGGCGCCCAGTCAGCACCCAAGTCCGAAGAGATCTTTCTTGAGCACAAATGGCTATGGGAGGTGAGGCGAGCAAGACTGTGGACTTACATCAAGTGCGCACGAGAGTTGGAACAGTTGCGCGAAGGGCAGCACCTGGAGGTTGAGGATGTTGAGGGTGACGATGGGTCTACGAACGTCGCCAGCCCGACGGACCCCCTATTGGAGCAGGAAAGCGACAATTCAGTTCATGCTTGGTACCACCCAAGGGGGGGCGAAGGTAGCGATTGGGACCGCGTACGCCACCACCTGGCTGGACCTCGCAAGAGCGCAGGAATATGAAGACAGTGGTGCCCTTGGTAGCACTCAAGGAGGTGAGGTCTGGACTTGGTCCCAGGCTCACACGTGCGCGCCTGGCAACCCTTAGGGAGAGCGAGGTCTAGTTTGGGTTTGCGCAAAGCGGCACTCCTCTCGACCCGCGCGAAAGTGACGACTGTTGCACGTCTAGCACTACCACGTGGGGGGAAGGTCAATGTTGCATCTGGGCAAGGCGGCAAACCGATTGACCCCAAGTGATGCCGGCCAGACCACACAGGGCACAGGGGTCCTGATTGAACAAAGATTCAAACCTACTAGCCTGACAAGGGGCCCAACCATATGCAGCTGCGAGGACCGCAGGACAGGAGTCACAAGAGTCAGCTGCAAGGGGTTACATCTGAATGTAACCCGTCACGGCTGATCTGAGCGGATGTCGGCCCGGCCCTGGGGAGCAGCAGGGCGTGGTCTGTGGAGCAGCAGGCGGCGGGGCCTTTGGTGGAGCTCCTGTAGGGCCGCGAAACGTGCGAGGGGGGTGCCAAAATGGGCGCGGTCACGCATGCGATTCCCGCCACTGATGCCTTAGGCGAAGCTCCCCATCGGGCCACGAAGCGTGTGAATGGTGTGCCGCGATGGGCACGGTCACGCATGCGATTCCTGCCAATGGGGCCTTAGGTGCAGCTCCCTCAGGGGCCACGTGTGAGGGGTGTGCCAACATGGGCGCGGTCACGCATGCGGTCCCTGCCACTGGGGCCTTCAGTGGAGCCCCACATGGGGCCACGAGACGTGGGCCGAAATGGTTTGTAGAAGACATACGAACGCAGCCACTGGGGCCGTAAGCGGAGCTTCATATGGAGCCACGAGTCGTGTGAGGGGTGCGCCAAAGTGGGGTGGCGGCATGCGGGCGCAACCGCTGGGGCCTCTGGTAGAGCTCTCTATAGGGGCCACGAAGCGCCTGAGGGGTACGCCAAATTGGGGTGGCGGCGGCATGCGGGCGCAACCATTGGGGCCCTAGGTGGAGCTCCGTATGGGGCCACGAAACGCGCGAGGGTTGCATCATAGTGGGGTGGCTGCGGCATGCGGGCGCAACCACTGGGGCCTCTGGTGGAGCTCCCTGGGGGGCCACGAAGCGTGTGAGGGGTATGTCAACGTGGGGTGGTGGCGGCATGCGGCCGCAACCACTGGGGCCTTTGGTGGAGCTCCCCGTGGGGCCACGAAGCGTGCGAGGGGGGGCGCCAACATGGGGGGGGGGGAGGACTGCGAACTTAGCCACTGGGAGAGCTCCTTGTGAGGCTACGAGACGTGTGAGGGATTTGCTCAAGTGGGGTGGTGGCGGCATGCGAGGCAAACACAGGGGCCTTTGGTGGAGCTCTCTGTGGGGCCACGACGCGTGTGAGGGGTGCGCCAACGTGGGGTGATGATGAAGAAAAGCCGCCCTCGACAAGGGGCGGCACGTGCGGACTGCGCACCTCGGGCGCGCGCCTCGGTGGCTGCATGTTTCTGGGGTCACCGCCGTCCTCTTCCTTCTTCTCCGCCTCTGCCCCTTCCCTCATCCAGTCCCCTCCATCCTCCCATCCCTTCCCTCGTCCCCTTCCCTTCCCTCGTCCCCTTCCCTTCCCTCTTTCAGTCACCTTCCCTTCCCTCGTCCCCTTCCCTCTTCCAGTCCGCCTCTTCCCCTTCCCTCTTCCAGTCCCCCTTTCCTCTTCCCCTTCCCCTCCCCCACGCGCGCCCGGCGCGTGCACCACTGCACCGCTGGCGCAAGCTGCTTTCTGTGAAGTCCTCGTGCCTGCGCACCAGTGCCATCCGGCCGAGGCCTCGGGCTACAGCTGGGCCGCCTGTGCTCGCTCTGGTCCGGTTTCGTCCGTGGCGGAGGGCAGAAACGAAACACTCTGACGCCGCGTGGTAGGTTTGGGCCGGCATGTGGACGAGTTCTGGAGCGGCGTTTCGGCATTGGGTGGAAGGGGGGAGCGGGAGGGGGGGGGGTCTGGCTCTGGACCTCTGCTTAATGCGCCTGATTGCAGCAGTGCGTCCTACAGGCGCCCAAAACAGCCAAGATCTACTCCAGGGGGAGGGGGGGAGGGGCGGGGTGCGAGGGCCCGCGCCGATCGGCAAAACAGTGAATAAGAAAACGACCACCATACAGATTATTGAACTCCTGCTTAGAATTACCTCGCGGCTGAGCACATGATGGCACTGATGTTGTACGGTTTGGTCCGAAATGCGTTCGGGTCGGTTCGACTGGTCTGGTCTAGACGCAATATGGTTCGGTCTGGCTTCTCCGATCCTACTCAGATGGCTTACCCAGTTCGGCCGCTCAAGGTCGGCCGTGCAGTTCGACAAGTTCGGTTCGGCGGATAAGACGAGGAGGCCCGTGAAAGGAGGACGAGGACGAGGTGGAGGAAGAGGGCGTGGAGGAGGAGGAAGAAGAGGAAACAATAAGATGGGAGGACACACAGGAGAGAGAGAGGGACGGCGAGTCAAGATGAGAGAAGAAGAGGCGGAGGAGGCGGGGGGAAGGTGTGAAGGAGAGAAGAGGAGGACAGGGAAAAGAAGGAGGAGGAAAGGATAAGACCGCAGCGAGCTCGACATGGATACTGCTCAGCCTAACCTTCTCCAGCCTCGCCCTCCCCTGTCTTCTTCTCGTCCTCGTCCTGCCTCCTTGTCCGCCCTCAAGCCACGCAAGGAGGCCCCCAGAGTCCCAAATCCTTCAAAGTCGGTGTGTTTGTCAGTGTTGTTTTGCCTTCTCGCCTTTTCGCTTCCTCGGGATTCTTGAGGCCGCAAGATGTCTCCAATATGGCCCCAAGAGCGCCCGAGCCCGCCCCAAGAGCGGTCCAGGAGGGCCCCAAGAGGCAATTTGTCGGAACCCGACCGGGGGTACCAGAATCTACGCCGCTCACTGTTTCCCCGACGGCCTCCAAGATGTCCCCAAGAGAGCCCCCCAGGGACTCCAAGAGGGCCCCAAGAAAGCCCCAAGGGCGCCGCACGTCTCGTCCAGCAGTTGCGGGCTACTTCTGGCAGGCATGTTGCGCATGCAGACGGCGACACGCAAGCAGGCACGCTCAGAAAACAAAGCGAGCTCCTCCGCCAGGGGTCTGGCGCCGGCTCCTCCGCCGGTGGGGGCCCTCCGCCTCCGCAGCCCCCTGGAGCCTTCAAAGAGCCGCTGTCTATGACGCTGCCTGCGACCTGCCTGCTTTGCAGACCTGCGCGCCGCCACGCTGCTTCCGGGCAGGCCGTGCTGTCCGGCGAGGAGGAAGGAGGAGGAGGAGGAGGAGGAGGAGGAGGAGGGGGAGGAAAAACGCGGCGAGCATACATAACCATGCAGGAAGAGAGGGGGGAGGGGAGGCGGCAAAGGAGCAGCAAGCAAGCACGCACGACGGGGGGCGGGCGGGGGGCGGGGGGGGGCGAGGGTCGTCGCGTTGGGGGCGGACAGGGGGCGGGAGGGGGCAAGGGGCGTCGGCGGCGGACGGGGGGTCGTCGAGGGCCGTGGGCGTGCGGGGTCGTCGGGGTCGTCGGGGTCGACGTGGGTCAAGGGGTGTGACGGCCGTCGCATCAGGGCCCCGTGGGCGTCCAGCGGGGCGGGCGGGGTCGGCGGGGGCGGGGGCGGAGTGGGGCTGCCCGGCGGGTCACTGCGGCGGTAGCTCACACGGCATCCGCCGTGGCGGCTGCCGTGGCCGCGGCCAAGCGCGCGGCCGTCGCCCCCGCTCGCGGCTGGAGGCGTCGCAGCACTGCCCGCGCGTTTTCCCTGTGCAGGGAAATAGAAAGTCGCTGGGCAAGCTGGTCGGCCGCGAGCGCGGCGTCGTCTCCGGTAGCGTCGGCCGCGCGTTTGGCGAGCACCGCGAAGGCGCGTCGCGCCTCGCGGCCCCAGCCGCCGCCGTGGGCCTCGCATACCATCGGTATGAACGTCAGGCCGGCCTCTGAGCATCTGCGCGCTGTGTCCAGGTGCAGGCGCTTCTGCTCCTCGCAGCGGGTCGCCGCCGCGTCGCCGCCGCCCTCCGCGGCCGAAGTCGCGAGCAAGTCCGCGCGGAGGCCCGAGGTCACGGCGAAGTCCCACGCGGCCGGCGTGCCGCCTCGCCACCGCGGAACGAAGACGTCCGCGGGGCGCCTCCCGTCGCCGTCCAAGTCGTCGCCGCCGGCCTCCCCGACCAGGGGGCCCTCGCCGGGCGCGCGCGGCGGCAGCAAGCCCGGGCGCTCGAGTTCCGCTCCAGCGTAGCCGGCGGCCAGCGCCTCGTGCCAGGCCTGGTCCCGGAGGCAGTTGTGGCGCTTCGTGCGGTCGCCGCGGCAACTGCAGGTGAGCGCGTGGTCTGCAAACACGTCCATCACCTCCCCGCACGCGGGGCAAAACGTCTCCTCCTCGAGCAGCGGGTGTCGAAGGCGGCGTTGCAGCGCCACTTGCATCAAGCCGTGCGGGAAGTCGGTGCCGAATGCTGGGCACGGCGGTGCCTGCAGGTAAGCGCCAGCGCCCGGGGCCGCTACCAGGTTGAGGTGGGCTCTCGTGGCCGGCGGGGCGCGTTGCCAAAGGTCGTCGCGGACAGCGTCGTCCACCTTTTCAGAGAGGAGCCGTTGGTCCCCGTGCTGGGCGGGGTCGAAGGCGATCCGGTCTG